AATAATAAGTAATGGTAAGTAATAGTAAGTAATAATAATAATAATGTTCCCTTCGAGCGACGATTATGATTCTTTGCTTTCTGTTATGCAAGAATATATTCACGTTCGACGTTCGGTCTGTGCAGCAACAGACACGGATGGCTTGCATGCAAACCGTTAAATTCGTAGCCAATCGTTGTGAAAGAATGCTGAACAAATAAGGGAGTAAAACCCAGCGACTTGTCAATCTGACATATGGCCGTAATACGGTGGAACAGAGGGAGAGCATCGTCGCATACAAATCATCGTGCGTAGAGGTGCTTTAAATGGTATCTCTATCTCTAGGTGTATTTGTATCTGTCGATTGATTTAGCTGAAAACTATATGTAACCATGTTATATACGTGTGTCGACCAAGCACACCGTTATAATTCTATATACATTCAATACAATGCGATATGAAATAATGAATGGAACAATAAAACTTTGCATAAATCGAATTATTAATTTTTTTTTTTTTATAGAAAAAAAAAAACAGACTGCAAAGTTTTTCTTCGAATGCACGGTTCTGCATGGGTCGTTGTACACGGAAGTTTCGTTGTCGGCTTGTGTTCAATTATCGATGACGATGAGTATCGATGGGAAAACGAGGCAATTCTAAAGCAGTAGGAAATGAAATTACTATCTTGTAACTTACGAATAAATTACATCCTTTCGTAATTCTACTTGATTATCACAATGTCGTTTCAATTCCTTTTCTTCGTTGACTTATGAACGACATTATGTTACTGAATAACGATCTTCTTCACCGTGGAGATAGGCACACCTTCTCTCACAAATCAATATCCTCAGGCCAATAAATCGTTCCGATCCTCGATGATATACCAGGTGATTTTCCAAACTTTTTGAACTTCATTCAGCATGGTAATTTGCCGCGATGCTGCAACGACGGAGTGAATACGATAAATGGCGGGTAAATCGTCGATACAAAAAGTTGTAGCAAGATCTATGGGGGAAAAAAAAATTCACTGTTGATATTTATTGAAATCAGAAGGAAACAGCGTTACCTGTAGATCGTCGTACGTTTTAACCGTGATATCCCTACTCTGGTAGCATCTAGCAGAGTACCAGAACAGACGCAGTTAGATACGCGAGACCAGTTGGTTTCTATGCTCGGAAGCCTCGACAGTTATCGTTCAGTAACTCTTGCGGAGCGCACGCTTTCTCGCGAAGCTCGTGATAGCATTCACCAATTGGAGAATCCGCAGAAAACTCTGAGGGAACACTGTGCCGATTCCGACCATCTGCAAGGTAACTTTCTTCTCCTCATTTTTTACCGACCGATGTTTAATCATAATTAGCTTTTGATTCGAAAATTAATTCGAAATCAATATCGACACGACGATTTGTCTCCGTTGCAAAAGATACGAAAGTATCTACGGAATATAATCCTGTTTGTTTTTCGTAAAGTGCAGAGCAATAATAAGCCAAGGTATAAGTCACATTGATAAACGTTGAAGCGATATTTCTATTTTTTACTCGACGTCGATTCACGTCGCCAGGAAAGAAGAATTTCATCAAAGATGGATTTAAAACCTTCCATCTCGAAGGCTTCGCCGCGACCTGTTGAAAAAGTACAGTATTATCAGTACATAATTAAATACATGTAACAGTACATCTATTAAAATTAGCTTTTGCACCTTCGAGTGTGCACTCGTGCAACTTGTTGCTGCATACGAGCAACAAAGAGCAATTACAATAGAGAGATGTGCACAGCAACTATTCAACAAAAATGCTTCTCGAGATTATACACTTCATTCGTGCAAGATTTTAGGCACAATTAAGAATTATTTCGCCGCGAACTCGATATTGGACAACAGCTATTTTGCAAGATGACGCAGGGCGTTTTAATAACAACGTTGCTGTGACAGTAGAATGAATCTTCGTTAGCTGGTCACCATTAGTAGTATTAGCCGGGTTAGGTGTGGCGTTTCCTACCACCACGAAAGCTTCGAAAGAAGATTTGCAAAAAAAAAAAAAAAAAGAAAAAGAAAATATGATTTCATCGAATTAATCCTAGAAGATAAATAAAATGCACTTTAAAATATAACTTGTAAATATAAACTTAATATAACTTAATAAATATAATATAATATAACTTAATAAATATAATATAATATAATATAATAAATATAATATAACTTAATAATATATATAACTTAATATAATTTAATAATATAACTTAATAATAACTTAATATAACTTAATAATATAACTTAATAAATATAATATAATATAATATAACTTAATAAATATAATATAATATAATAAATATAATATAACTTAATAAATATAACATAATATAATAT